CGGGGCCCGGCCTGCCCCAGCGGGGGGTCCGTCTTGGAGCCGGCTGGCATCGGCTGTGTTGGACAGAGGGGAAGCTTCTAGCAGCTTCCAACAGCAGCCACCCCTGTAGCCCCCTCGCTACCAAAACCTTGCCGCGCAAAGCCAATCAAGTAACAGAAATTGTTGCCTCACTTTTTAGGAAGGGATGTCATGCAAGTAGTAGTACTCACTGAATGGGTGTAACAGTGCTCTAACCCATTTTGAACTATTTCTGTGTGCTGTATGCTTTGTCTGGAGGCTAGATAAATAAAACAAAATGTAGCTTAATATATATAAACTACATAATGAGTTTCTATGTACAGCTGAAGTGAGAGCTGCTATAACTTCTTTTAATTTGAATTTCAAGTGAATGGTTCAATTTATGTGGTTTTCTCTCAAGTTTATAAGCTGGATTATTATTTCTCTGTTTCCAGTGTAAAGTGACCATTAAATTAATTTATAAGGTTAGTTTTTTCCTGTCAAGCCATTGCGTGTTGATTGAAAATGTAAAGGAAGAATGAACCTGTGTTAAATCTGTATGGAATATTTTGACCTAGGTTCTGTACATCAACAAGAACAATTAATGACTATACCGTTGTATATATTGCTTGGGCGATTTCTTATTTTAATTAATATCATTCTGACTTAAGAAATACCCATTAAACTGTTTCGTAGGTTGGGGTTTTTTAATGCATTTTTGCCTCATTTTTGCTTTTGTTGTGAATGGTTTTTGGGAATAAATTCTTAGATGTTTTTTGTGGTTTAAAACCCATTACCTTTTAAGAAAATAATAATGATGATGACAAATCTCACACCACAAGTCTTGTAGCTGAAGTAAGTGATTGGTCACATACCATAGAACCTCACGGGACTTAAAAAAAAAAAACAACCACCAAATTATAGGAGTCTTTCAAAATGATATAATTACAATGGGCTTTTCACTTTTTCCTTCAACGTGGCATTTTAGCTCCTAATGTATGTCGTAGGAAGCCGCATATTTGGAATTGTGAGGCTCTCTAGGAAATCATTTTACTAATGACCATAGATATACTACAACTCAAATATGTATTATTCAAGAGGTTGTGTATTTATTTACCTTTTTGGTTTTAGTGGTAAGTTTTATATAGATTAGTCTGATAGAGAGTACTCTCTACCTACTGTTCTTAAGGACAAAAGAAGTGTTGGAAGTAATACTTGGCAATTAAATAAATAAATAATAAAAATAAAATAAATAAATAAAACATGGCAAACGTTCAGCAGTTTTAGCTATTAACGGAGAGCCTCTAGAAAGTCAAGCTACTTTGAGCTGTTGAAACTCTAAGCAGCGTTTTCAAGTATTTCTGGAAGTTTCTAGCACAGCATGGGTTAGTGCTGTTTGGAAATGTTCTCATACAGCCTTTTCACCCAAACCAGGCACTTTAGTGCAACTTGGTAACAATGTATAGAAGTTAAAAGTTGGCGTCCCAGAGAGCAACTAGGAGGAAATGTTCTTGGAACACTTGTTGTGTCAAGATGCTGAGTGATGTAGTAATAGAGAAATGTTCTTGGCATCGGGAGATTTTTATAGGGACAATACTTGGGCGGTGTACAGTGTATAGCCCTTTGGAAAAGCATAAGATACTGCCTGAGAGATTACCTTGAATATTCATGCCAACTGCACAGATATTTGGAAATCAACTCTCCAGAATGCGCCACATCACTTTTAAATAGGGTATGGGTTGCAGGCAAGTTTAAAAATGTGTTTATCAGAGAGTAAGTGGAAAAAGTCAGCCTGTGGCAATACAGAATATTCAAATAGCACATATGGAGGTGACAGCTGCTTTGATTAGGGTACCATCCTTTCCCAAATATCTGAAAATTTCCACATTGGGCTGTGCTAGAATTAGCTGCGTTTGGTTTTCCCTTTTGGAAGACAAATAGAATTTTTTAAGTTTGCTTTTCAGTTTGTTCATAATGCTGTAGATTAAAACATTGATAATTAGCCCAATTAACAATTGGGCTAAACTGCCAAATATTAAGTATTGCAACCTGTGTCAAATGTCCAAAAATAACAAAATATATGCTTGCGTGTGTGAGCAAACTGGGACACAGATGCATAGTATTCAAGCAGGGAGTCTAAGCTGGACAGAAACCTGGAAAGTAGCAATGTCAGGTTATTGCTTGATTCTTACCATACTGCGATATCATCTTACCATGTATGTAGCTGTACCATGTATTTGTCAAATTAATGTTATCTTTACTGACCTACACCAGTAGTTGCTTAAAAAAATTCAAATAACTCCTCCTGATACTAACAGCTAATTTTGTTTCTTTGTTACTCAGTTTCTCTGCATAAAACAACATTTTCTGTATCAATTAGTAAATTACTTTGCTGCGCACAGCATTAACTTGAAAAATAGTGTTGCTGACTACGGGAAAAAGAAATTATTTTAGCATCCTCATGTAATTTTTTCCATCCTGTCACATCAAAACATGTCTGGAATGTGACAATTTGTTAAAAGATCTGCTATATCCTACGTGCTGGGTGGACTGCATTTACGTTTTGGTTCAAAAATTGCTGTCTGTTACTATAATAACCCAAAGTTTATTATATATTCTTTATGTTTTTAAGATGCTAATAGGGCAAGCAGTATGTCATTTTTGAGCTAGCCAGCAGGAAATGTAAGGTATCTGCAATATTGAGGTTTTCGTTAAGTACACTTCTTGTATGACTCTCTGAAAAGAGCCATTCCCTATGCTGGAAAACAAAATAACTAAAAACTTGTAGGCCCTGCTGTTGTGAAACGCAACAAATGTTGTGGTGTGAAACACATTACATATAGAGTTGTTGGATGAAATCCAATCTTGGGCATATCATCTTTATACTGTGCTTTTCATTGCTTGAAAAATATCCATATGTGCATATATAAACACACACTAATGCATAAAATCTTCAGTGGCTCTCTATATCATTTGCTGGAGACTACTTTAGGGGTTTATTATTTTTTGGCTAAATGAAGCTGAAACTTGTAGAGGATCCAGAAGGTTGTATATTTTGAATTTGGTACCAGAAAGCCAAGAATGGTTCAAGACATTTTGATATGGATTAACATCCACATTTGGAGAAGTCTTGAGGCATTTGTGGTGTCTTAGTCATCATATTTAGCTTTGTTTTTAAACATCCCAATCTCTAAAATATTACTAAGTTGTTCTTAAACAATATTTAAGGCTAAATAGTAAACTTTGTAAAGCCAGTTTCGAGTTTGTCAAGCTCAGTGCTGTCTTTGTAGCACTTATGCTGAGGAAACTGATCTTCTGTATTTCATTTTTAAGGGAAATACATGCAGATGATGAATATTCTGAAACCAATTGCATTTGATGTGATCCACTTCATGTCCCAGCTCTTCGATTACTATCTGTATGCAGTCTATACGTTTTTTGGCCGAAATGACACGGTAGGTAGAAATATTGTTCATTTCCAAGTATCACTGTACACACAGAATGAGAATACAGAAGAGATCTCTATACTTAAAATACTCCCTAACATGTAATCCCCAGAAAAATTAGTGGCAACGGAATTGGTTTGAATGCGGGAGTATGAAAAGGCTGATTAGATCAGCAATATGGGGAATAAGCACTGGGAGTGTCATTATCACTGGGTCATGAATCCTATTATGTTTTGAATAGATTTTGTACTCTCTTTTTTCCAGCAGTATTTTGAAAGGGAGGAAAGGCAACGTGAAATACTTAAAAGTCATGTCAGAAAGTGGGGAGAGAAGGAGCAGCCTGTGGAAGGAGGGTGGTGGTTTGGAGCCTAGAGAGTATGAGTTGATTTAATTTTCCTATATCCATTTCTCTAAATTAGATAAGAATAGCAAAAGGAAGAGGAGAAGGGGGCCATGAAAGTTAAGTAGTAACTCAGGTTTAAGAGGTTTGAAATACACTTTTTCAGATCTAGTATTCTTCTGTCAAACTAATTGCATTAATGAAAACAGGGGTTTTTTGAGTGATCTTGTAGTTGAAATAAATGCTTGTTGGCAATGTCTGTACATAACGTAGATCAACTTTCAGCAGAATTGTCTTAAAGCATTTATGAAAAGCTGCGTGTAAAAACAATTTTCTCCTCTTTTGGCCCCTAAATTACTCCACAAGTAATAATATCACGGGGTTCCAAATTCATCATCATCTGTTGGCAAATTGTAATGGATTTTCAGACTCAACATATGGTTCTAAATGGTTTTGAGCTGTTCTCTTTGGCAGGACAAATGAATTTGCAATTTGTTTGTGTTTAGAAGATGCGTGTTTTTTTGGTTTTCGGTTTTTGTTTTTTTTGTTAAGATAATTGATTTCCATTGGCTTCGTCAGCTGCTCTGGTATTCACATTGCATTGCATTTATTTTTTTGCACCTCCCATTTTGTGTTTTTAAAGCTCATACCGAGTTCTTCACTCTCTGCTTCTAACAGAGAACAGCACAGTGCTAGGCAGGTAAACATTATAGCAGATGGGTGGTAAAATTGTGATGTTTTTGTAGCGTGCCTAATTTTTGTTTTGACAGATGATTTTTCGTGGGAAACATAATGCTTACAAAGGGTCTATGAATGTAATAAACCCTCTTGTAATGCTGCTTAAATGTCCTCACTCCCCATAGTTTTTTAGAAACCTTTAGAAAGTAGAGATGGGTGATGGTATGTGATTTAGACCACTGAGAGTGTTCCTGTTTTATTTACAAAATAGCATCAAATGGGATTCTTAAAAGTATGCTGGTAATGTAACTCCCTTAAGCGGTCGAAATTCCTTGTGAATATTGTGCTTATGTTGTATGTGTTGAGTTAGTACACACGTAAGGAGAGTAATGAATTGTACAGAATTCGTTGCCAGTTCAGTGAAAACCAAGGATTTAAAATATACATGTTGAGTTCTATGTCCAGTCACGATGCTAAGTCACTGCTCTTTCCAGACCTCTTTAGAATGATTATCCTATATAGTCAGTATTTGGCTTTCTTCACTGCCAAATGTTGCACACCATTGTAAGCAGAATTGCTCTTTCAAAACCTTTTTAATTTGTGGGATGCAAGTTAAGGCTGCCTTTCTTCCTTATCTCAAATTATGGAGCAACCTAACATGAAATCAAAAGGAATTGCCTATATTTAATGTCTGCTCACTAAAGTGTAAGACATCCATGAACATGCCACAGAATAGTCTTCCTTAGCAGATTAATTTGAGGTGAGTTTTAATTTTTTTGACAAGACGTATTAATTTGTAAAACAATGGCCATTCTTATGGAAAACACTTTTTTTTAAACTCTGAAAGGTTATGTAGAATTGGTGATGAGTAAAATTATTCTGTAAATTGTCTTGATGTTCTGCTTACTAGCCTTACTACGTCATCAGTTTGTGGCATTTAAATATCTACCACTTTACATATAGCAATAGCAAAAACTTCGATGAAGCAAAGCAGTTATGCTGATGAGTGACATGTTCTGTGTGAAGTCATGAGGTTCTGTCCTTGCAGAACCCCCCTTTTTGGTTTTTTTTTTTTGTTCGTTTTTGGGGGGGGGCTTCGTCCCATACATACGGATGCACAATTCTGACTTTAGGCTGTAACTGGTTGCCTGATAAATCTGGAGTTCTTGATATGTAGTGTTTTATAGAAATTTAAGTTTGTTTTTACGTTCCTTTTCATTCAGATAGGTTTCAAATGTGAAATTGCCATTTTTTAGAGCGAAATATATCATTATAGAATAAGTAAGTGAAAGTTAGTGATAGCTATTGAAAGTTAGTAATTGAAAGGCAGAAAGAATTAGTGGCAGATTGTGTGATGTGTAGTTTTGATGGTGCAGGTGCAAATTTCTTAAAATGAAATTTAATGGCTGAAACTTGTAAATACATTTTTTAATATATATATTTTTTTTTTTTTTCTTTAAGCAGGGTATTTTTTCTGTTTGTTCTTACCTTAACAGGGAGAATAGCCTGTCTTGAATTTGCAGTCCTTATGGCCATGTCTTGAAAAACTACTATATGATGTTAAGGAAGAAAAAAAAGAGAATTAAGGGTGTGTTTCTTAAAGGGGAAAAGTTATTTTCTTTTTCACTCATATACCTGCAAAACCAAAGGCAGTTCAGAACTGATATTTCTACAGTAACAATGTGAAGAAAAATACAAATTATTTTTATAAAAAAGCTTACTTCACCTGCAGAAAAACAAAGGCGTAAGCACTTCTTTTTGTCAAACATGGATACTAGGACAGTGATTTGTCTCCTAGATCAGGTTCTAGATTTCAGCAGAGTGGGAATTCCAGTGGGAATTCAGCTCAGATGTAAATTTTGATTGAATATATAGGAGGATTGAGACAGATGGATGTCATAAGTCAGAAATGTTAGATACAGTAAATGGGGACCTAAATTATACCTTTTTGTATTTAAAAGGAGCAGGTGGGATGACATGAACTTCAACACTTCCTTCCCTGATTTAGCGTGTTGAAGGGATGTCTAATAATACAGTGCTCTAAATGTTGTTCAGTAAATTGCCTTTTGGTGCGAATCACATACCAGAACTGTATTCAAATACTTCCACATTCTTGATGTAAATGTGTGTTTCTTAGCTGTCTCATTTCCTCTTCCTTTGTTGTGTTAGTTTGTTCCTTGTTTTTTTAATTGGAAGTAGGAGAAGTAGCTACATGAATTATGCCTGTCGAATTAGACCCTCAGCTGGTATAATTCATTGCATTTACCAGGAAATCAGTGTAGGTATATTGATTTGTCCCAGCTGCCCCATAATACTTCTGAGCCATGAACATGAAGATGGCACATTTCTCAGGTAGATCTTTATAAGCATTAAGTAATAATGACTGTTTCATAAACATCAATGGGTATAATTTTACATATGCAAGTTAGGTATTTAATAAGGAATTACAAGAAATTTTACAGCGGGAGAGAGTAGTCAAGACCATTTGGCTTGGGTGTGGTGCGCATGCAAGTCTCAGTGGGGGCATCGTGGTGCACCATTCTGGGCTCATCACCCACATGAGAAAATCTGGAGTCCTGCACCCAAATGCAGTATTATAACAATAAAGGATACTGGTCGTTTATTGGTATGAATGGGGCGCTGTCATCTTCATGAAAGGTACTCGGGTCATTCTTCACACCAGTGCAGTGTTGAGTGCTGTGACTTCTGTTGATTTGCTTTACATTTTGTATGCTTGTGATTATGTGCTAAAAATTTAATGTAAGTAAATTGTAGCTGGTGTTTACAAACTAAAGTTTTGCTGTATCATTATAAAGTTTAAACCAATGATTTTTCCTTTCCCAACTTAAATAGAATGTATTTCTTTCAGTTCGAATCAACGGGACTGGGCCTCAGTAGCAGCAGATTACGCACCACACTGAACAGAATCCAGGAGAGTCTGATTGATCTGGTAAGTACCTGGATTTTGTTAATGCTCAGTGGAGTAGAGGTCTGTGTAGGAAATTTAGGAACTGTATTTCATCGTGGCTTTCTAATTTTTATCTCTCTTCATATTCAGTGTCTGTAATGACAAAGTCTTAGATTCACGGCGTACCATGATGTAGATATCATTATTGTATGAAATCACTTGCTTCTGATATACAACAAAACTAGTGTAATAGCTTTTGCTAGATGTAACAACAAAATTATGTGTCTAAATCTTATAATGTATTACGGTTCATATAATAAAAAGAGACATTCCAGTATTATCCTTATTAACTGAGACATTTTATATAAAAAAAAACCCGCACAATAGGTGACTCATTTTTCTTCAGTAAAAGAACAGCAAAACAGTAAGCCCTCCTGAAGATCATTCACCTTACAAAATAATAGAAGCAGTACACGAAGTCCTTTGTTAAGTCATTTCTGAATTGTGGGGAACTTTCCCTGATGTGTTTTATAGATTATATCCCATCGGCCATTTCATGAGTTATTTTCAAAATGTGAAAAGTAAGTATGGTGCTTGTGTCATTCGGGTACTAGATTACTGTCCTTCACATCACATTACAAAGGGTAAACCGGAGACTTCAGGTAGATTTTGTGGATTCAACTGAGCAGCAGAGTTAAGAAAAAAAAGAAATATAAAGAAATATTGCTAAGAACTATGCAAAAATGGAAATTTGTAGGGTTTTTTTTCCACCTAAATGTAAACCCCTTGAAACATTATGAAGACATTTCCTAAGAGTATCATAAATGGCTTGGGTAGTAATTAATACCATGGATGCTGCAGGAAGGATTTATTTTTTAAGGCTTCTTCCTTAGAAAGAAGTGGAAGACAGATTCTCTACTATGACTTTCACAAGGATTTGGCACTTCACAGAATTGTACTTTATGCCTTTTTAATTCCTTGAAGTATTATATAAAATCCTAAACTGTTCTTTCAGAGAAGCTTCTTAAAGGGTTTTGGGGCCATTTCTTATGGGGCCATTTCTTATAGAGCCAGTAGAGGGAGCATAAGATAACTAATAACCGCAGGCCTCTCTAAAACAGAAAAAGGCTAGTCATATTCATATTCATCTCAAAGGCAATGTGTTCAAAAAGAAAAATTAATTCTAGGAAGATCTTGCAAACGAATCAGTTAAAGATTATGGAAAAATGGCAAGTTATGGAATTAATTTTTTAAACTTACTCTGTAGTCTCAGTTCTTGACAGTGCTTTACAGTCTTGAATTTTTTTTTAATCAGTGAAAATATTTTTTAAAAAATCATTTCTAGGAGTAAATTGGAAAAATAACGGGACTTCTTTTTCTTCCTCAGTCATTTAACAATGCTGTTACAAATAATGTTGGCATCAACTGAAATTAATAGCTATGTTCCAGGTAGGATTTGAAAGGAGAAAATAATCCTAGCTAACTACTATTAACTTGAAGGCATTCCATGAGGTTTATTAATATCTTATGAACTTATGCTGGTCTTATGTTATAAATGGAAATTTTTCACTTTGATTCATGAGGAAGAAAAAGTCTTCTGAGTATTTTTATTGTTTGCTTATTTTTAAGAGTTTATGAAAGTTGAGATTAATCTTTATTGTGTCATAAAATGGGTATTTCTCATGATTGTATGGACTGTTCTGGACTCCTCTCAAGATTCTCCTCTTATTTTAGATTATTGTAAATTGCTTTCTGAAAATACTCCTGTTTGTGTTGTGGGGTTCAGTCCCATGGCCTGTTGGGAATTTTGGGGTTTTGTATTGTCTTCTGTTCATGGTAACTTTATTAAGGACTGTCATTTCTGTCGCATTTCAGTTCCTGAGGGCAGCATCTTTCAATATTTTATTTTCATAAAGATAGTCTGTATCTGATAGGTCTGAATCTGTGGCCAAGGCTCTGCCAGAATTGCATGTAGATCAGAATAGTTCTTCTAATCTGTCAGTGCCTGTGAAGGTTGAGCACTGTGACCTTTGTCAAGACCCTTTAGTAATTTAGACTGGATCATTCCTAGCTTTCCTCTTGGACTTTGTCCATTCCTTTTTTGAGATACCAAGTGGATGAAGCCTATTTATTCTATATTTATTGTCAGGAGAAAGAGGAATAGTTGGAGGGTTTAGAGGCTGTCTCCTCCAGCTTTTTGTAGACTTTCTGTAGTTCCTGTTTGGGACTGAATTAGTGCACTCTAATTTACATCTGATACATTTTAGGGTACTACTTTTATTATTCCACTGAATTTTAAGCTTCCTTTGTGAAGGAGAAAGCAAAGTGGAAGGGGCAAAGTAAAGCCAAGCTGCTCTAATGTACTTTCTCGCATCTTTGTAGCATCTTCTGTATGAAGATTGGAGGCATTCCCAATAGGACATTATGGGGCTGCTCTAAGTTTATACTTCCCTATTATTACAATGCAAGAAGTGTGTGCCCTTTTAATATATACTGTACTTAGAGTATACTGACCATACTTGAGAGAGTACTATCCTGGTTTTCAATTGGACCACTGAGAGACAGAGAGTTGGGTTTCTGACTCACGGCCACTGAGCAAAAAAGGCTGCAGCAATTTAAAGCGCTTCCTCTCCTCTTCCCTGCATCCCTCCTCATGCATCACCTACCCCCCGCTTCTGCTGGAGGGTCCTTGTCCCCTCTAAGCAGTACTCAGCTATAGCTGAATCCCTTCTCCTCTGTTTTGTAATCTAATACTTCATAGTAAAGCCAACTGTACTTTATAAACTGCAGCAAGTCCACCTGCAGTTTAGATTAATGTTTTAGGCTGTGAACAGGAAATAACTGAGATACGAACATGTGTTCGGTCATGTTAACTTCACCACAGGGCAATAACACGACACCTCAGCTGTGATACATATTATTCCATGTCCGTATGCTGCTCCTACACCGATATAATAATAAACATTGCAGTAAACAAAAATATACAAACAGTAACCACCAAACCTCTCCACTTCAGTTGGAAGTAAAAGTGCCCCTCCTCCTCATATTTATTATTATACAAAAACATGTTTGTAATTTGGATGTTTTTTAGTTTGGATGTTTTGTATGATGTAATCAAAATGACAATGATGAAGGGACTTAAAACTCTTCACAAGATGGAGCAAGCATGTCCTCTAGGTGCTACTGCTTTAAATATGCTTCCTATTTAAAACTGTTATACCAATAATGAGGTTTTATCCAGCTATGGCTTTTAATCTCTGCACTACTAATATTGATACTGGTTTAAGTATGGTCTGAAATTTCTTTTGATCTAGAAATGAAGTAGGTTTAGTTACAAAATAAATAAAAGGGGCCTACCAATAAGCAAAACTTTATTTGCTTTCTTATAGTAAGTTATGTGGAAGTGTGCTGGGAGCTTACAGTGATTGAGTAACCAGTTTTCTGTGTCTGAGCTACTTGTCTTTGCCTTAAGGAAATACTTGTCAAGCTAACTCAAAAGTATAAAAAATATAAGCACTTTGAGTATTTGTTTTAAAGTAGATTAGGGTGCAGTTTCATTTCTGAGAGGTAAGAGAACAATATGACTTTCAAAAATTTGTTTGGCTACGTTGTACTGAACTTCATATGTGTATCTTAACTTCATATTCAGGCCTTTCCACAGCTAGTACAAAATAGCTGCAGTACAGAGTTCTGCTGTGCAGCATCTTCAGAGCTAATAATTTGGATCCTCCAGAAATGACACTCTACAAGCTGTGTTTCATTCATACCAGCAGGATGTATTAAAGGGACACACACAGAAGGAGCAGAGTGAAAAGGAGAGGAAGAAGTGCTATTGTTTCAGCCTTGCTTATAAGGCTAAGGTGTGGTTTTGATTAGGTCAAGCACCTCAAAGTAAGTGCCTGTTTCTGAGCTGCGTACGTCTCCTCACTGACAGTTCCCGAGTGGGATATGTAGAGATATCTACACGCGTTTGGCCCTTGTGTTTGTCATTTCTAACAGGAATGTGTTTTTTGCAATAGTAATGATGTTTGTATTAGTCCACTGAGACCAGTAAGCTCCCCAGGCAGGCATCAATCAGATGGATGTGAACTATGATAACTGGTGATTCGGAAGGGAAATTTCAACTTCTGATTCCTTGCTTTATCTGCCTCTAAGCAGCTTCCTTATCTTCACAGAATGTAACTTAGTTGTGGTACTGCTGTTACCTAGATGTTGTTTGTGAATGTCCTGTGTATGCAAATAGCTGCCTTGAGTGATACTGCTGCTTCCAAAAGTGAGATTTTTGGGGCAAAAACCCATGGAATACTCATAAATATTTCATTGCAAACTGGCTTGCTCAGGTAAAACTGAGATTTAGAATGAAGTTTGTTAGAGTTACTGTGCCTTACAGCAATAGAAAATAAATCACTGTGGTAAAGTATATAAGCATTGCAATGCAATGTATAGAAGAGTAGATGCAAGGAATCACTGGTATAAAGAAGTATTGGTTAACATATTTTAGATTCTGTCTCTAGCTTTTGGGCTCTTTCCCCATAAAATATATATCTTTTGGCAGCGACAGTAGGTTAGAGATTGATGGTGCAGAGATGGAAAATGTAGATTTTTCAGCTGTACAAATAAGATAAGGAATAATGGGAGACAGACCAGTTTTACTTAAAATTTCGCAGCACAGTCCCGCATTATTTAGCGTGGAAACGTACCCTGTTATGTCCTGGTTTGGCATATCGATGGCAAGCTCTGGAGAGTCTAGGCTGTGGAATTTGTTACTTGACATGGCAGTGCCTAGCACAGGATGCTGCTCCTAAAAGACATAGCTAAGCTCCTCACTGGAATGGTAGCTGTGAGCTGTGATTCTTGATGAGGTTTTCTTTGGCCAAAGATAATTTCTGCAACTTTTATAATCCTTGCTTGGTCTTCTGCTCCTTCAAAGAAAAAAAAAGCCTGAAGAAAAAAAAAAAAAAAGAAAAGACGATTCATAGGCTCTTTTCTTCCTCTCTTTTAAAAGATTTGTACAACATACATAATGGCAATGTTTAAGGTGT